ACGAAAATACGTGTAAATGCATGTATATGGATATCTGTTTCAATGATGTGAATATGGTTGTTATTGTGATATTTTGTGATAATATGAGTATACATGTTTGTGTTGTATATCTGTAATATACATAAAAAATGTCAATATATACATATATATTGTAAATAAACTAGTAGAAAACGCACAGATATGGAAAAATATGAACATGCTAATATCCCTGTCGATGTTAAATGTACCTGTCATTTAGATGAATGTGGCTGCAGATAAATTAACATACATGTATCTGTATTAAGTCAGAACATAGTTGTAAAATAGTGTATACACCTGTACCTGTAAATACCGTAAAGTCGGTTATTAACGCGTCTTAAATCTTTCGCGACTGTGACCTAAAATTGGAATACTTGTATTGACACGGAATGTAATTTCGCGATCTAGACATGTGAAGTAGCCAAAACTGTGCAATGTTTATCACAGAAACGGTACTTTCCGCATCTTAAGTGTCGAATTGAGCATTTTGTTAAACAAATCATCAACAAACTACTAGATGTGTGAAACATCATTACGGTTTAGTTTGGTTTAATTGGTTTCATTTTGTTTAACGTTCTATTAACAGCTAAGGTCATTTAATGACGTGCCTCCAAGTGTGTAGTGTTGCCTGCTAACGTGTATGTATGCAGGAGACATGGTATAGTGGTGTGCTTGCCTCCTTGTGATAGCGCGGATCTGATGCCCACTTTATAGTGCTATCTCAGTGAAATGCCATGCCGAAGGGCCCCAGCACAACATCCCGCACAGTCACATTATATTGACAACGGGTGAACCAGTTGTTGCCATTCCCCTTAATGCTGAACGTTAAGCAGGGAATAACAACTACCATCTTTAAATACATTGGGATGCATTATTACGTTTTATGTATGCATCACAAGAAATCACTCGCTATTTCATGACGACATCACGGTTATTATGTTTATTATAGCGGCTCATTTGTACGCTTGTCATATTGTTCTGCGGATCGTTTTATTTTGCGATCTCATTATTGACCCGCGAAAATATTATCCTCGCGTAAATATCCGGCTTTACGGTAATATATAGAACCTTTTACAAAAAGTATGTTTATCTAAACAAAATCCGAATGTATCGTTGAATGTTGTTAACATACCTGTATATAATACAGAAACACCTGTCGGTATAGAAATGCTATACAAAGTATCACACACGAATCAATTTAAACGAAGTATATTTATTGAAGATATGTTTTCCTATTTCTTTAATATATATTCTTTCTGAATAAGATCAGCTTGACCAGGAAAAAGGGTTGCTGAAGTAAATTCTACTGCTGACAATGCTATCTTTGTCATGACTGCCGACATTAAATTTAGTGGGGAACCATTGACAAACTCACCAAAAACCCACGACGAGTTGCGCAATATCATCTCGACCTAGAACTCGAGGTCCTGTGAGCTTGATCCACTGCCTACAGACCTATTAAAGCAATGTCTTGAAGCACTGCTCACTTTGATTACCTCAATCATGAACAAATCATTGGCTGAGTCAAAGATTCCGTTGTGTTTCAGGAAGGCACATGCTAGACCATTGTTGAAGAAGCCTGGATTTACTTTTCTGTCTAAAATCTTAAAGAAGGTTGTGTCCCGGCGTTTATAGGTTAATCTCCATGCAAACAGTCTACATGGCAACCTGCAACCGGCCCACCGCATGGGACACTCTACTGAGACGGTCCTCCTACATGTACGTGTACAAAATGACATAGCTTCTGCTTTGGATAACAAGTGCAGAGCGGTGCTTGTCATACTGGACTTGTCATGCTGGACTTGTCAGCTGCATTTGACGTCATCGACCATGCCATACTTTATAAACGTAATGAGTGACTGATACCGCACTATGCTTGATACAATCTTATTTGAGTGAACGACGACAGTGTGTTGCTATCGGATCTACCATCTCACATGACAAGGTACTAGAATCCAGGGTTCCTCAAGGGTCGGTGTTAGGACCACGAATATATAGCATGTATTCTAAACCGATCGGAAAGATTTGTCGTCGCCATAGCCTTCACTATCATTGCTATGCTGATGACACTCAAATGTACATGGTCAGCAAACCACAGTACACCTGGGATACCATTTCATAAAATCTGGAAGCTGGTCTGACAGACATTTTTGCTTGGATAAACGCTATCACTGTAAAGCGTTATTAGGAAAAGAACTAATCGTCTTTTCCCCAAAGTGTCAGTAAACGATACCTCTCCAGCTCAAGGTCGGTGCAAGAACTATTGAGACTGTCCCAGCTGTTAAAAATCTTTGGATATACAAAATGTACTTTGATAGTTAACTGAACATGGAGAAACAATTTAAGTGACACTATTGCCAAATCCTGTTACTACCAGATCAGGAACATCAGCTGTATCCGGCAGTTTATAACTGCAGATGCATGCAATATTTTTGTGCAATCACTTGTTATCTCTTGGTTGGATTATGGTAACGCCCTGCTCTGTGGTATATCTGACACACTAAATTGTCGTCTGCAGAGGCTCCAGAACACTGCAGAACGACTGGTTACTCGTATTCGAAAGAGAGAGCACATTACACCTGTGCTATATTCATTGCACTGGCTACCTGAACGATACAGGTTGCAGTACCAAATGTTGACGTACACATACAAGTCACTGAACGGTACCACCCTCGGTACCTGCATGGGCTTGTTACCCTGTATCAGCCGTCGCAAATCACTGCGGGTCGGAGTCAGAATCAGTGTTGTGTGTCCCAAAATCTCGTACTGTGACCGATGGAAGCCGGTGCTTTGGAAGGGTTTCGGCCACGTTGTGAAATAGCTTACCATCTGCTATAATAAAGTCAAATACCCTAGCCAAAATCAAGAAAGACGTCAAAACACACCTCTTCATGTCTGCAGTATATGCTCTTTGCACAGACGTCATGCACTGTAAATACCACCCTTTATTTATACATGTACGTGCACATTGCGATGATGATCTTCTAGGTGATTGTAAGCCTCTTTGTTTCACAATTATAACTAATACTCTTATCCATATGTTATAAAGCACTTTTGAGTAATTTTACAAATTATATAGAGCGCTATATAAATGTTGTATATTATCAATTATTATTATTATATTACCGTATCGTTAACGCAATTTGATTAAAATCAACTGTTACATGGGCTCGTTAACTCTCTGCTACGCTGTCGGGACGTAGAACGAAGTTTACGAGATCATGTACAGTGGACTCAGTGTATTATATACAGGTATGTTAACAACATTCAACGATACATTCGGATTTTGTTTAGATAAACATACTTTTTGTAAAAGGTTCTATATATTACCGTAAAACCGGATATTTACGCGAGGATTATATTTTCGCGGGTCAATAATGAGATCGCAAAATAAAACGATCCGCAGGACAATATGACAAGCGTACAAATGAGCCGCTATAATAAACTTAATAACCGTGATGTCGTCATGAAATAGCGAGTGATTTCTTGTGATGCATATACATAAAACGTAATAATGCATCCCAATGTATTTAAAGATGGTAGTTGTTATTCCCTGCTTAACGTTCAGCATTAAGGGGAATGGCAACAACTGATTATTTAATACTCTATTTGCCAGAGACAAGTATTATAATAACGGATACATTATAATAAACGATCAAATTCTTTTCGATCCTTTATATATATGAGATGCACTATAATCATTAGAAATAGATAGATGTGGAAACATCGGAAGATATCAATACAATAATTGAAATAATTTGTTTATCGTAGCATGATTTTACTAAAATTGCGTTAGATGTAAGTTCTTATGTAATGTTTTGTATATATTCATCAACATGCAAAGAGCTCATTTAATTAATGGGGAGATTAGAGTGAATAGAAGTAGCAATTCTGTATTTTGAATGTTTTATTTTAAAAGCTTAAACATATATACATTTTATGTATATTTTAAATCAACCAATATTTACAATCGCTTTATGTAAAACATTCTTATAAATATGAATATTTTAAATGCGAAGAGACATAATAACAAAAATAAACGTTTGCTTTAAATGTATTTACGCTTAACGATCTCAAAAATATTGTAAACAAATCTTACTCTAAATAAAATAGTCATGAAAATGTTAACATATTTATTGTACTAAGACCATATATTTATCTTATAATTACTTCACAAAGTTTCTGAAATTATAACATACCATGTACAAACAAAACAGTCAACCTACTTTCAAAAGGTTTACACTCATAAAATCGTCCCAGGAAAAAACATTTCTGTAATATTCAATTGTATCTATCAATATTTCTAATAAACACATGATGTCAACAATAATACAGTTTAATTCGTTTAGGACTCCTTTTTCAAATCGATAATGTTGTTTCGGGACCGCGGTAGCCGAGTGGTTAAGGTGTCTGCCAAGGCCTGCGTGGGCAGTCGCCAGGTACTACCCGTAGGTCGGTGGTTTTCTACGGGTACCCCGGCTTTTATCGTCCACCAAAACCAGGCACGTCCTTCAATTACCATAGCTGTCATGTTATAGGACGTAAAACACATACAAACACTGGTTGGGATGAATCAACGATCGAATAAATATGTGATAATTGCTTTATCCGTTGAACATTTTTTTCACAGTTTAAGAAATCGACAAACCGAGTGACGTTGAAGGTAATTTTAGGATGTCACTAACCTAGCACCGAGTGACTGTTCTGTTTATTTAGTTGAAACATTAACCATTTTGCTCATACAAACGAACGTGGCACGATTTCAACCATATGTTCATACCTACTATAATGGCGTTTTTTAATTGTCCAAATGTATACAACATAAAACTTATATAAGAAACAAGTTTAATACATAATCACTTTATGAATGTAAATCGATCAAAACAATATTTCGCAGATTTTTTTGATTTTTCTATCTATAACGCACGGTATCAACAATATCACAATCATCATCATCATTTTGCATTTCTCCACGGCATCATTTTTCAAGAAATAAAATTGGGAGCCTTAGGATGTAAAATGTTGACCGATAGAATAAAATTCCAAATTGTGTTAATTAGCCGTGCGTTTCAGCCATGAACATATTTATACACAAATGCAGTATAAGTATAACTTAGTTTATACGATATTTCATTCAATAATTACATGTGCAACAACATACTAAAACACCTGAAGCATACCTGGATAGGGATTTAACGACAAGTTCATGGCTTATGTAAATTATCTCCCTTGATATTATGAGAAATGTTCTTGAACATTGCAAATGTGATTAAATAAATAAATTATAACTTCGATATTGTAAGTATAACTTACATATTTTAAGTATAAATTAGATATTGCATGAGAGGAAGAACTTTTATTGATGTGGCACATGAAAGATTTTCTATTGTAAAGTCGAACCTTATTCTAAAGAGGAGGACATAAGAAAATTTACAGTAGAAAGGCAATGGTCTTGTTTGTATGTGCTTTTATTATTATTTGATTTTGCTGTAGTTGGTCAGAGATACAAATTAGACATGATGCTGCTTTGTGTGACGGAGGCACGGTAGTGTAGTGGTAGGACGCCGGGCTCCTGACCAAAGGGTTGCGGGTTCGAGCCACGTCAGGGCACTGTGTTGTATCTTTGAACAATGCTCTTTATTCCGCTTGTTCTAGTCTACTCATCTGTAAATGAATAAGTAGTTGGGCAGTCCTGGAATTGTTGAATGCTAGCTGTAAGTGCCAAAATGGCATCACCGGCTGTATACTCCCCAGGGAGTTAAGAAATATGTTGGCTGGTTGTAAAGGCCTTATTACCACCGATACTAATTTGTGAACCGCTTTTATCCGACCGACGAACTAGGTCATGATGAAGCGGTATATAAGAACCTCGAATTATTATTATTATTATTATGAGATAGGGAACAAAAATAACTACCACTATGTACACAAGATACTGTTAGGAATAAATAGCATGTGGCGTCACGGCCATAAGTAAAGAAAATGCAAAAAAATAAAAAGGATCACAAGAGAATACGAAATGTCAAAACTACAATTCAGACTCAAAATCACTAAAACTAAAGAAAAATATGAACGAAGATTCAGACAGAAACCATTGAAACTAGTCAATGAGAATACGACCAGTTATTCATAAAGTGTAAGCATGTAATTTGCTTTGTAGACGACACATGTCAGGTACATTTAGAAAAAAACAACAACATAATGTTACGATATCGAAGCAAGAGCCGTGGCAATTATGACAAGAAATATATGGCATTATCATGAGCATAAACAAAAACATAAACTGTAAAGTTGTGGAGTCACGCAAAAACGTCACACGATAGGTGGTGTCCGGACGATGAGCGCACGGTGTGTACACAGTTTGCGCATTATGTGCGCATGGTAACAAAACTGTGCCATAATAGCGTGCGCACAACTGTGCGATAGCTATCGTACATTTGTTCGATATGTATTTTGGTTGATATGAATTCATGAATGGCCTGTGAATGAATGAATTGAATTTCGTATTTATGATTTAAGTATGTTGACATATTTTTCTAGCAGATTTACATGGTTACATATGTATCTAACTGTAATGGAGATATAACGAAAATTGTTTTTAAACTCCATGCACCTTGAAAGAAGCGTAAGCAGATATACTGTACATGTTTAAGTACTGTATCTGGTCAGTGCGACCCCATTATTGATAGTTTACAGTTATTGTAATAATGTATAACTCACAAAATACGTACTGTGCACCTTAATTCGCTCGAGCCTTCCGGATTTCTTTCATTCTGTATCATCGATGAACCGATCATTACAATATACCATATCGCACATAATGCATGCATTTTCTCCCACAACAGGGCGATCGATTGTAAAATTGCGCATTTGTTCTCATTGTATGCGAAAGATGTGCGTACGCGGTGTGTACACGGTAATGTTGTGTGCCTTGTGCGATCCCACAACTATAAAGTTACATTTAATATACAGAATAAAAGACATTCATAGCATTATATATACACAGAACCAAAATACGGTTATAGCATTAAATATACACAGAACTAAAACACGTTCTACACAGAACCAAAACAAGTGATCTGGTTAAGTCGTCATTGTTATATTTGCCAATGTGAAGCGTGACAGTCCTCTCCATATGACAAAGAGAATAGTGTTCAATCAATACCGAAGATGCCTATCATCGCGGAAATACGTTAAAAAAATATATTAAAAAATACAATGTGTTATTTTATGACTGACGATAGATTTTAGTAATGTAACTTCATCAGAATATTTGTAAGCAACGAACGTCTAATCAAAATAAGTTCCTGTAAGCAGAGTTAACTTGTCAAAGCAAAAAGGAAAACTGACACTTCCAAGTAAAAATACACATTTTCACCTCAGCAAAACGGTGCAGGACACGATTAACTATTTCGAAGTCTGTTACATCTTTGAATTCGCCGTAAACCACCTGGGAAGGATCTGTATACAATAAGAAAGGAGGGATGATAAAAGTCTCCTCGTGTTGTAGTTCGATACCTACTTTACGTGCTACTATTCCAAGGTACGCGTCATCGATTCCTAAATACTTAACATACGGAAATGCAAACACCATTTTGTTTGCTGTGTCACGTGACACCAAATATACAGCTCCTGCCAAATATGGCGGATATCTATCAAAGGGATATTGCTGTAGGGACACGGACCATCTTGAAAATCTGGACCTGTACGGAATGCTATGTTTTAATAAATTTCCAATCATTAAGTCGCCTTTGTTTAATGCATTCAGTGTTTCAATAAAAGTAAGGAGGTTTTGAATATTCAGATAATGGTCGTCGTCTACAAAAACAATATGGCTGGCTTGACCACAGAACTGAACAGCCCAGTTAAATCCCATAATAGTTTTATAAGTGTTGTTCATGTAGCTATCCAGAAACGATTCCTGTACGATATCACCGTATAAGGCCGCTTCTTTATCAACTTCCGGTTGTTCTGCTTCTCGATGCGCAAGCAAAAAAGCAATTTCGATGTTCTCTCCCGTTGAATTTCCCCAGGTGGTTCGAGCAGCGTCACGTAAATGAAAATTGTTCACCGTAGATTTCACTAGTATCAAAAGCGAAGGTGTTCCATTTTCCTTGAACTTGCATTTCTTTCTTAAATGAATGTATTTAAACGGATGTGGATTAATAATATTGAACGCAGGTTGTCGTCCTTCTGTTTTGAAGACCTTGTAATTTTCTGAAAAGTTCATTTTTACCGGATAAGTAAATTCAGAATATGGAATAACATTGTTATCTTTATACAGAAAAACAATATTTATCAGAATCAGACAACACACAAGCACTATCAACACAGACAAACGTTGACGTTTTCGAATGGCGTTCATCCTTATCTCGAAATACACCGGGTTTCTATTACTGTTTTTTCTCCTTATTCCTCTTCCTTGTCCCCAAAACAATAAATTCTTCTTTAGAAAACTACGTCTCATCTAATGCAGATAAGTCCATTTCCTACAGCAGTAAAAATGCATAAATTATATACAGGTAGATTTACATGTACTTTATAATAAGTGTAACTGTATTTCCATTCAATAATCCAATATATTAACATATGCAAATTATTGGAGTTAAACAAACCTTTAGATTTCTACAAAATTAAAATATAACAGGTTTAATATAATAAATGGAATATTTGTATAAAATTCGCCAAATATACTTGTGAGGTAGATGGGGTCTGTTCCACCATATCCAGTAATTCTTGCGCCGTTTGGTTTGCTGATTAAGAATAACATTTCATACTTTCTGTTCTTTGATTGGGGATCCAATGAGAGATAAGTCAACTATTCTGACGTTTTCACGTAAAAAACGAATTCGCATGAAGGGGAGATAACTGTTCTAGGCATCGAAATGACCCAAAAAGTTAACATAGGTTTTAGATTATTTTCTTCATATAACGTCAATTTTACACAATAAAATATTTTCAAAAATGTTATGAATAAGAAAAGGTTTTGTTGTTGTTATGGCACTCGACAAGTTTCGCCTATCGATAGAGAGTGTGTACGCACTGTATCGGATAGTTCACTGATAGGGTTCAAGTACAAGTTCTTTATTACCTTGAGTCTTTGGACTCAACAATCACAACAATAATTATACCACGGTTTGAACACACTTCCTCGACCCCACCCAAACCGACCAACTACAGCATTAGATGTAAAATGTATAAAAGGGACTACAGCTTACAATTCAGGTGTTAAGAGAATTACATTACACGTAATATTCAGGTCCATGTTAGCCCGAGTCTCCCTTGGCCCTGACACCAGACTTAGACATTTTGACAGATGTATGTCTACCAGACAATTGCAACCCAGTTATGTCATTATTGGAAAATCTGTTCGGTAGCAAGGGTGAGTGTATGGATCCATCCACAAACACAAACAGTTCCTTTATCGATCTATCAGCAGGGATCCCTTTTAGTGCTTGGGTCTCTAATTAACTTATTATTAACTGATACGCTGCACTAATCCGTGCACTAGAAGGCAATCATGGGGACGTGGCATGGAGACAATACGACGAAACAAGCCCATCGACCTCCCTGGCCAAAACAGCTAACCATCGATCTTTGCGTGGCCGACAACAGTCAACGGTAAAGATACCACACAATGTGCAACGCGCAACCCGTCAAAAGGTCTGCTGCTTTGCCTGCAACAGAGGGATGCCATGCACAGCATTCCAATGCAGATATAAACTACTGTGTCAGTTCTTTTTTTTTGGCAGCCGCACCAAAGCAAAATGTTTCAAGGCTACACAAGGTCAAACAGGTTCCCCAGCAAAAACAGTGGTTAAGCATGAAGTTCTCAATTCAGAACTTGTGGGGTATGAGAGTTCTTCCACTGTAAGCCTTCTGGCAGGCATTCAACATGGTTTTTCTATTGGTTGTGAAGGAGGGTGTGCTAAGTTATATTCTAAAAAGTCACAAATCAATTAGAGATATTATAAAGGCAGTATTGGAAAATAAAATAAAAGGAACTACACATAAACAAACATTTGGGACCATTTACAGAGCCCTCTTTTATGCTTTTGTTTGCTCTCCCTCGGGCCTTATCCCAAAATCTGTCCCCGGGAAGCTCAGATTTGATTTTTCATATCTAGAAGGAAACTCACTCGATGCAGGAATTTCCAAAGAAAAAACAAATTCATCTATGAAACAAATGGCAAAGGTATTTAACTCGTAAAAAGTTTCGGAACAGGTTGTTATTAGCAAAGACAAACATTGAAGATGCTTTCCGTGTTATACCTATTCATCCTTAAGACTATAACTCTTAGGTTTACCATAACATGTAAATATTGTCATTTTTGCCCCATGAGGTCTAGTTTTGGGAAAACATTAATCAGAGGTCTGAAGTTGTTTCGATTTTCAAAACATTATTGAACAACAGTAAAATAACATACAATCCAAAGGGAAAATGATGTAACGTTGAAGACTTACAGCACATTATTGTATACAACATCTTGCATCCATTTCTAAACATTTCGTATGAAATAATTTTACAGTCAATCGGAAATATTATAAAAATAAAATTTTATATATATTCTATATGAAATATAATTTTTCGAGTTTTCATTCCGTATTACTGTTGTACTTTTTGTTAAACAAAATTGCCGAATTCGCGGAAATGCGATTTTTCTGATATCATCAAGATTGATCAAGATTGATCAAAACATAATATCTTCAAAATCAGCAAACGTAGATATTATGGCAGAATTGAAAATCAAAGTTCTACTTGATAAATATTAAAATATCGTTTAATTTCATCACAAAAGGCTATACAATTCAATATTAAGATGTAGAAATGCATGGAATATAAAGTCATAAAAGGCCGTCGCAATTACTATCTAAGTAAAACAATGGAAAATACTGTACTTTTGGCCCCTACTTGTCTTTTGTTGGTTTTGAAACATAAGACAGAACAGAACTTTATTGAACACTCAGATTACTGATCCCCTACGAAATCCCAACTTGAGTTTAATGGGTTAAAACGACACCCTTCGGCAGCCATTTGTTTTCTTTTATGACGTCTGCACGTAGACTCACTTGAACGTGTGAATTACGACAAGTGCTTATTGGCGTAAGTTACGTTCGGTTTATGGTGTAATTTACCCGTAACCTATTAACGTGCACTCGTAACTTATGTTTTGATTTTAACATATTTTATTGTAATTTATATACAATGCGAGTTGGGCACAAGTTTAACAACTTATATTAAGCCCTTTCCTTACAATATATTTATACACATTTTCAAGGTGGCCTAATACATATATATTAGCATTGGCTTAAATTAAGAGAGATAGACAGATAGGTAGTGAAGAGAGAAAGATAGACTGGNGGGGGGGGGGGGGGGGGAGGAGAGTAATCCTTAGAATAACAGTCTAGTTCAAAGTATGATAATTTAACAAAGCTGACTTCCGTAATGTATTAAGTAATAAAATATCGATGTATCCCGGACCATGTGTTTTTCCTTCTCCATGCAAACGAAACCAGTGATAGTCTAATCACTATTCCCAACTTTCTTTTATTCAAATGTTCATCACATCCCGTGCCTTGTAGCTTTCTCCTTATAACTTATGTGTGCGTCGTGAAACGGACCAACAAGCTTACGTACGGTTTACGTGTACCCGTACATTTACGTACGCATCGTGAAACAGTGCCCCCAGAAAACTTTAAATGTTCGCAAAAAAGAAATTGTGGAAGTTAAACATTTTCAAATTATATTTTGATCTACCCTTAATTTTCAGAAACAAAGTCCCCATTTTTACCAGATATCCTTTTTTTTACGCTTAATATGATAGTTTTGATGACAAACTTCTTAATTTTTCTCAATATTCACTGGATTGAAATAAAAGGGGTAAAATGCTCGGAGGGGCAGTCAATGTGCTTCTTGTTTTGTCGTTTAGTGTTATTTTGAATTTTTTACAGGATCAAAAAACAAATGGGCTTCAACTTATAAAAATGAGAACTAAAATATCAATATTGTATAATTTTGTCACACAATGTTTTCATAAATGGAACATTATAAACTTGAACTTTCTACAATAAAAAATGGCGACGCTATGACAATTTAAGTGATTAACCAAGTGTCTAAAAACATAAAATTCACATTTTCACAATGGCCGCGAAATTGGTCGTTTTAAAAAACATTATCTTAACTTGTTAAATTTGTTTGAATCCTGTTAAACTAGATCAAAGCGAGATTTGAACGTGATTTAAACCTCAGAGGTGCAGACCTTTAACATGTCAAATTATGGACAAACGTAATGTTACGGTTGCTATATATGATAGATACAGATAGGCTATTACCTAAATAACAGAAGGTTATAGTGTATAACATCCGCGATACTGCAGGGAGCCAGAGAGCGAAAGCGATCGCAACCCTTGGAATTTAACATAACAAAATGGACGGCTCGGCGTGAATCACCCTGTGGATGAGACGAGAAGACTAGTTTGGTTTGTCGGTCGCGTAACGGAAAAAAATTAGTGGCTTTGAAGTCGGGTGTCGCTCCTCTGCCATCTTCAAATGACATGTATCAGCCTAGCGATTAGTAAGTTTCCCCCTTAGATCAATCAAATGGCTAGCCGTGCGACTTCAATTTCACCATGACATATTCCAAGAGTGCAGATAGCGAAAGTGAGCGTAACCCCTCGAGTAGCGAGGATGAGTGTAAAACAGGTAAATATAATGTTATAAACGGACTGATTAGTTATACCTTTCATCATTATAATGCCAAGTCCAAATGAATCATTTTACGGGAAATATGGTGAATACAGGTATGCTAAGTCTTTGTCTGAGATTAGTGGGCCATAGAGATGAAGCTTAAATTGATGTATGTGCCTTTTAGTGTCTTAGAGTACAAACCTCCCTCCTTGGTAGGACACCAGTCTTTTGCAAACATACAACTTCTCAGTATTATTACCCGTATTTGTACAAATAAGTAAACTTAAATGGACCCAGGTACAGTAGAGTACAAGTTAAAGTGGACAGTGAAATTTAGCCCAGAGTTGTTTAAGATATCAAGCTTTGGCCTTTACGGCAATGAGTTGGTACATGTACCCTGTCCAGTATGCTACACTGTCCAGTATGCTACACTGCCAAGATGTCTCAAGTTTTGTACATGTATACATGTATACATATATATATATATATTAATTTCCGTATTGTATGCTTATTGGCCATAGCTTAAAGGGAATATAGCCGTATATTTTTTTCATACCCAGGAAACAGGAAATAAGTGATATTAATGCTTAAATCAGCCAAAATTAAAGAGTTTTGTACCGCCATACTGTCAACTTTGTTGTACATGGACACATTTTACTCTGTGTTTATCGGTTGCTGTGCTGTTTGTATACAGCGCCATGCTCGTTTACGTCGAAGACTGCCGAATAAATCACATGATCTGTCACGTGATAGCGAAAAAGGAAACCGAAGTGTATGTAAACAAAGACACGTGTGTCAGAT